GGACTAGCCGTAGCAGTGTGCCTTTTCTGTGACTTCAGAAAAGCCTGTACCCACACGCATTTAGATGCTTTTGAAAACCCCATGCAGCGTTTTCCAGATGAATAGGAAATCTTAAGAACATGCAATCATTAAAAAGTTTACATATACTACTTTGGAATTTTAGGCTTACCAGCCCACAATATCCCAGAAGAACGCCAGCTCGCATAATTGCAGTCACCTTCAAGTTTAGCTGAAAACAAACACAAAGTCTAAAGGACAAGCTGCTGAGAACAGGAGTCCTTTTCAACTACAAAATCCCTTAGATAACGTAAGGTTCTTTCAAAAGGCTATGTTGATATTGCGTGCTACGGATGCAGGGTGTGTACCTGGCATGATGGAAGAGGACACCATTGCTGGAGACGTGCAGGTGGCTCCTGCCCAGGTCGCTGCCCATGTAGAGCTGTCCCAGAGAGAAATCAGGGCAGTTGGCCAGCAGCCCCAGCGCCATGGGGTAAAGCAGGGACTGCGGTGGGGACACCACCGCCCCCTGCCTCCCCCTGGCCCCTGCCATGGTGGGGGACACCGCAGAGTGTCCATCTGCAAGGAAAGGAAGTCAAGACTGTGCCCCAGAAAGTCAGTGGCTAATAATCACCACTGTATTTTCCACTATTTTCAACATTTATGGAAACGAGTGGCTAAGACTACTCACCTCAGGGTTGATCATATCAATATAATTACCATTTCACAAGATAACATTAAAACCAATGCGTATAAGGAAGAAAATATGTAGCTATGTACATTCTATTACCTTTATAGATCTTCATAGCATCTATAAGCTCAGGAATTCCCTGAATTAAAACTTCTTCCTTCAAGGCATCTATGTTGGAGAAGTCATCAGGCAACATCTTCTCTAACTGAAGAAAATTGACTTGAAACTAAAAATGAAACATAGGAAGTGTGTGTTGATGTCTTCTGTGCACTGCTCAGCTCTAGCAAAAATAGGTTCTTACCTCCTTCAGTACTACTAGTCATATAGGCACATACACACAGCAGATAAATGGACAGCAGGGAACACTTTGTCTTTGAAAACACAATCCTAAAATCAAGGTTTGTGCTAGAGGAGACCAGACACAGCTTGTAAACAGTAGCGGAAGCACGGCACTAGGTTATTTTTATCATAGCATCCCCAGAGATTCATGTAAGAGGTTTTCTGTTTGCTTGGCTGCTTTTTCCCCCAGCACAGTCACATCCCACTCTGCATTTAAACATAGGCCAACATCAGCGGACTGGCCGAGCAAAACTGTATCAGTTCCACATCTATCTCATCTTAACCAAGTTCACAGAGGATGAAATAATACTTGATGAAGGAGGTGTGTGATTGTGCCATACTTTTAAAAAACACGTGTCTTTTTTTGAAGCTGGAAGATTATTTAATGAAAGAAACATGATTTTTTTTACTAGTGAAATGTTACAAGATTGAGTAGAGATTTATAGTCACCATGTAAGCTTTGTCTACCTTAGGTATTGATTGTTAACAGCGGTTCTGGTACCTGATGCCATTAACACATTTTAGTTCAGAAAACCACTGAATTAATAACACCCACATAAGTAGGGCAGTAAGTGGGTAGATTTGGGTACATGTGCTCTGGAAGCCACCTGGTAGAGGCTTTGTTTCTTGCCCGGTAAACAGGGCAGTAAAACAGGCAGACACCGATACCAAACGAAACAATCTCAAAAGATTAAAGGACTCTGATCTTTAAAGAAGTATTCTTGAAGATAGACAGAAGCAATTTAATACAAAAAGAAAAAAAATATTTAGAACAGTGTCAGAGCAATTAAAAAAAAAACCAGAGCAGTTACCTATGAAGCAAAGCTCACTGTGCTTGTGCTCTGTCAAGGCTGTGTTCTCAAGCAGCCACAACAAATTGTCATCGTTTACTAGTATAGGGTATTTTTCCACCAAATCTAGTGGCAAAAAACGGTAGTTCATGTTGTCTTCTGTATCTAGTAAAGGTGTATCCACTAGCTCTGGGGGAGCTCTCTCATGTAACCCTAGGCAAAGAAATCAGAGAAAACTCAAGGCAAAGAAAAACGGAACTCAGATACATGCTTTGGAGATCTGACTAGTACAGCAAAGCCAATAAAAGTTCTTTGATCTTGTGCAATATTTAGTGTTCACTAAAGGATAAAGTCTTACAGCCCAGCACAAATGAATAAACAATTGCATGGGGTTTCCTATTTTTTAATTAAAGATGATGAATAAAAAAAAATCACAAAAAAATTTTGCAAGACTCTAAAACATTCCTGGCTTGCAACAACTGAGAAGAGTCCACGGGCATTCCTAAGGATGCAAAAGAACTTGTTGATTTGGGACACTTAGCTGTGAATGTTGGACTGTTAGGAGGAACCTCTGATGGCTTGATATACATTTTTGTGTTCTCCAGTAATGCAGAGATGTTCTTTCTGCTACTGGTGTACCTGCAGGCTGGACATGTAAATTCTATTTCTCCTCTTTCAAGTGATCTAAAATCTGTCAAGGCAGAAAGTTTTTCTACTTACTACTTAAATTCAAACAATTAATCCAAAAATCAAAAGCAGCCAGGGGAAAAAGTCTTAAGCTGTGCTAAACTGTACTTCACATCTACTAAAATATGCCAGGGAATATCGTGTACAGTCAAGAACAGACACATATCAGATTTCTAAGTTTTAGGTACCTCCAGGTAGCTGGAGTGAACTTGCAGAGAATATTCATAAGAACTTGTAATATAATTAAAGCCATTCATATATTCCAAAAAAGCCAACTATTTTTCAACATCTGGGTTTTAATGGCACTTCCTTGTATTCTAGCTCTGCAATTCAAGACAGCACACTGGCATGTGTAAAAGTATACAACAACAGAAATAGCCAAGAACCCAACACAAAGCCTGAAAGACCTTTTGGGCTCTTTTTAATAACAACTCCATGATAAGCTGTAGGAATTTGATTATTAGAAAGGGGAATCCATATTTGACTCAGTGATAGGAATGGTTAACAGCCTGTCTTTCCTAATCTTTTACTGAATGATAAACAAATTATTTTGAACTTGGAACAAATGTTTACGTGTTGTTGTAAAATACTAAGTATAAAGTAATTTTAGAGCCATGGTTATGACTTTGAAAGCACGTGCATAAGATACCATCACGAATTAATAAGGTTACATTGAAAAGCACTTAAAAACCAGAAAACGCAAGAATTCTAATTCGGTGGAATACACTCCTGGCCATAGCACAGCAGATCCCTGTTAAACATATGATCATGGACAGTTTTTTAATACAATAGACCACTGAGTTTCGGTGGTCTCCGTCTCCCAACCTATTTGGAAATGTTACATCTTTAAATACAGTCTTAAAAGAAAAACCAAAAACGTTCATGTTAAACCCATCAAAAATATCAAGCATCATAGCATTTTTGAGACAATTCCACAAAAAATAGTATTAGAAATAGAAAGAAACTCAGCGTTTGGATTAAACTTAGAGGAAATTAAAATTTTAACATACAAAAATAGACATTTCATCTAGCCGGGAAGTATTGACTCAGCCTTCACTAGCACAATACAAAACTACACTGTAATTACAATAAAAAATACTTGTAGCTGAATAGCAAATTAATATTCATTACAGATATTCATTTAACATTTCTGTTTCTGCAGCTACAGAATAGGAGGAGAGGAAGACTCGGCATTTCCCTGTTTCACATGATAGTAAATTCAGTGGTGTCCCATTAGGATGAATTAATTTTCAGGCTGACTGAACCTCCCCAGGGTACAACAGAAAGGGCAGTCCCACCTTCTTCAGGGTAGAAGGTTCATATTCAACAAGATCAGTCAGTGTCATTGTCATCAAGCACAACATCAGGCTGATAAAAGCCTCCACTTGCTTCGGCTTCGGTTAAAAAAAGCAAGTAATGACTGTTGAATGAGCTCTTACAGAAAGGTCAAGCATGAAATTTGTAACATTTTCTGTACTCACCAGCCGAGGCAGATGGGTTGCACATCGCAATGATTTGTTTGGACATCTAGCACAAGCATTGATACAGTAATATACACAAAATCTGCGACATCCTTCTACAGACAACATTATTTAAGAATGAAAAGAAATCTAGAAAAACCACTTAGAATATCCCACTTTATCTGTAATAAAGGCGTCAGCTGCGAAATCAATGCTTGCTCATACAATAAATTAAGTTCAGCACAGCTGAAAAAAAGGCAACTTTGAAGTCTGCATACAAAATACAAAACCATCTTGGTCAACAAATAATCTTAGATTTTCGGACTGATCTTGTACAGAAGCTTCTTTCCACAACAGAGATTCAGGAAACTGAGTGACTTTACTTCTGGGAATTGAGAAATACCAGCTACCAACATTAAAATTAATGAACTCTTCTGCAGATTCCATAATGCTCTCTGGTTCCTTCAAACAGAAGAGAAAAACATATCAAGAGGCAAGAATGAACCTGTAATCTCTGAAACAATGTGACGTTTTATTTTAAAACTCAGTTGGGCTTTGCATTTTATTTTCCATTCCGTGGTAGCTTGACAAAAATAAAACATGGGGCAAGAGACCTAGAGCATTACCTTCCCATTCACTTGTACATGCCCATTCCTGAGTTAATATGTGTTTATGGTCTTGGGTCATGACAAGTCATCAAAATGCAAGGTTTTACAAAATGTAACACTTATGGTTAAACCTTAGACCAATCTGGTGTACACACATAGCGAGTTTGTTACACAGAACAGCAAATAAAATACAACAAATGTCTTCCTTAAATATTCAAATAAAAGTAATAACATGCAAACAAACACTGCATAACCTCCCACGCAACCTGTGTGCCTCTGGACACACCATGCTATAGAGTGATCAGAACCCACTTAAATTTAAGCTTTTATTTATAAATATCATACTGCTGCTCTTCTCATATAAAGCTGACAGTGCTGTGGAGAGGCTTGATTTTAAAATCCCTTCACCACGAGTCACTTCATTGTCTATTTTACTTGCACTTGAGGGTTTTGAGATGTTTGTAATGACCCCAGGACCAGGGAGTTCCCAAATGAGGATCCCTACAAGAGAAGGGACCATCCTACTGCAAGGGCTGATCCTCTCAAAGCCTCAGAGGAAGGGGTGGGTCTGCAATTTATTTTAAAAACCAATTAACACAATGGTAATGCGATATAGTTTGTTAATTAGACACTGTTTGTGTCATTTCGCTTAGGTAAAATTGGAAACAGGTGAGAAGCAAGACCCAGGGAATAAAAAAAGCCAAGGAAATATGGAATATGACAGTTCATCACTTGACTAATCATTGTCAGCATGCAGGATTTTTAGGGTTTTTTTTAAAAATAATTAAGGAGGGCTTTAGATAACAATGTAGGAGTGCTCATCAATATTTTTAAGCTTTCTTTAAGTTCAAGGTCAGCATCAAAAAAAAAAGAGCATTGATATGAACATAGGCTAATGACACACTTTAATATATAAATTATGTATATATATGATTTATTTATTA